TCCGAGCGGCGTCTGGGGGCGTGGAGCGGCCGGGCCCCCCGCGGGCTGTGGTCGGGGTGGGGGGCCGGAGCAGCGAGGCCCCCCTGACCCTGCAGCGCGGGCCGCCTGGAGCCCCAGGCTGAGAGGGGGCCGGAGCGGCGCCCCGGCCGCCCGCGAGGGGTCTCCCCCATGGTGCAGCGGGGTTCGGGATGTCGAAGACGCTGAAGAAGAAGAAGCACTGGCTGAGCAAGGAGCAGGAGGGCCCGGGGTCCTGGCCCGGGCCCCCGGGCGACTTCGGCGCGGAGATCCGGGGCGGCGCGGAGCGCGGCGAGTTCCCCTACCTGGGGCGGCTCCGCGAGGAGCCGGGTGGGGGCACCTGCTGCGTCGTCTCGGGCAAGGCGCCCAGCCCCGGGGATGTGTTGCTGGAGGTGAACGGGACGCCTGTCAGCGGGCTCACAAACCGGGACACCCTGGCTGTCATCCGCCACTTCCGCGAGCCCATCCGTCTCAAGACTGTGAAGCCAGGTAGGGCGGCCCTGCCTTTCTGCCCCGGGGGGATGGAGGAGGTTCTGGGTGGGCATCCCGGAGCGGCCGCCTGTCCCCACGGCTTACCGTCCCGGGTACTCTTTAGACCTCTAGGGTGTGCCTGATCCTTGCCGAGGGGGAGGGGTGGCGATGGCGATTCCCATTTTGCGGATGAGAAAACTGAGTTCTGGCTTGGCAGGGCTGCTCTGCGAGCTGTCACAGCATTGCGACCCAAAACCGGGTCTCCTAAATGTGTAGCTTGGTCTCCCAGCGCAGACGAGAGTTTAAGACTAGAGAAAGACAGCCTTTGCTGCTCTCCTTTGTAGAAAAGATCATCCTGATCGTAACCTCTTCTTTGGAACAGTCGTATGCATCTTCTGGGCAGGGAAAAAGGTCTTTACTATGGAGGCTTTTGGTGCCAAGGTTACCACCTAGGGTACCTGGGGTGGGGTGGGGGTGGGGGCTTCGCTGCTTCCGTGTTCCTTGCACACTAGCAGACATCTCGGAGCTGACAGCCTAACTCCGCCAGTCCAGGTGGTTCAGGTGTTTGCGTACCGATGAGCGTGCAATATATGGCTGTGTGACAGAGTGGTGTGTTCTTGCAGGGAGCTGTTGAATAGTGTCTGGGTTTTGAAGGAAGTCCGAGGTGCCTAGCCGAGTAGACGCTTTGTAAAGCGTTTGATTTTTGCAGAATTGTGTTGAAGTGGTTGAGTAAAAAGAGCTCCTGTCGCCCTGGTATCTTTTATGCTCGTAAAATCTGCTGCAAAGCACGTTAAGGTTCTGGCATACTTGCCAGTTCCAAAGCATTGATCGGACTGCGTACAGGGAGATCTGATAGTCTGTAGTAGTCCTTATGAATTTGTTATCCACGACGTTGTTGGTCGTTTCAGCGCTGGCAGGATGTCCTTCTGTCTTGAGATGTTTGCAGGAGGCAGAATATTGATGATAACGTTATTAGAAATCGGACTGTTTTTGCTGAATGTGTTCCACTGAATCTCTGGTGCATCAGAATATAGGGGCTGCTTAATTGTGACCTGCTCTAGGTATCAGTCCATCCCTTTACTCCAAAATGCTAGAAAATTCTGGAGAGAATTTTCATTTGTTATCCCCCTCACATTTTCTGTTCTTTCTCAGCATCTCGCATTGGAAATATCTCTAATAGTCCTTGAGATTGACCAGGACTGATGATGTGTGGTGTAATTTACTAACGTCTGTGTGCTGTGGGTATATATACATATGCACATGGTCCTACAGTCTTTTAGTTTAAGATTTCCTTCTTACAGCCTATTCCATCATACTCATTTTCAGTTTATGGGTTTGTATGAGATTTCTTCTTAATTTTAATTTAAAAAACTTGTAGAATTGAAAAACTCTCCGAATAGTTTTGAGAATTATAAAATTCTCTCCAAACTCCAACTTTTAGAGTCATATATGGAGGAAAGAGGAAAGGCTGTTGGGTCAGCCAGTCAATCTCTGTTTCTAACATGTAAAATACTGTTAACAGTATTTTAGACAACAGTTATTACTCTAGGTGTCACTTAGTTCAAAAACTGTGAGTCAGGAAGTAGTTAGAACCTCTGCAACATTGCTTTGTGTTTTGTGTTGATTAGTTGAGACAGAGTATAAGTGTTATTTTTAAAAAGTCTTAAAGTTGGTATATTGATGGGGAAGCTAGTGTGTTCTAAATTACTGTGATTCTTGTAGAAGACTGGAGAGGTGGCTATTTAATTAACATTAGTTTGGTGTCTGTGTTATACATTTTTCTCAACCTTTATATCAAATTTAAGAAAATAATTCAAGGTGTTGTGTGTCTTCAGCAACATTGTTAACGAACTGTGTTAAATGCCCCTAAATGTAGTTGACTTTTTTTTACTGTAATAGAATTTTGATCCCTGACAACCACAAGTGCTGTCATGACAATTTAAAATATTTAGTCAAAAATAAAGGGAATAACATTTACGGCTGGTACATTTTGTGATCAATAATAGAAGTTCTGGGGACCAGCAACTGGTGTAATGGCTATGTTGCTGGACTCCAATGTAGTCAACCGCCATTCGAGTCCCCGACCCAGTGGCTTAAACTCATGTCAGGCGCGTGTGCCTGTGTGTCCAAGATCCCAGAAGGAGAATGGAGGAGAAGGGATTGCAGAGTGGCCATTCCCCCTGCGGGGGTGAGTTCTCACTTTCTGTTGCTCTGTCTCTTTCTGTTTTTCTGGAGTACGCATGGGCCCTATAGCAAAAAACTCTCAAAAAAAAAAAAAAAAAAAAAAGAAAGAAAAGAAAGAAAGAAGTTCTGAATAATACTCTGCATCAATTATTTTTAATGAATACCAGTATGTTGGTGTCATTGAGATTAATACTCTCATTTCTAAGCAAATTATAATTTTAAAATTTTAATCTCTTTTGAGAAATAGTGTTTTAGTTTAATAACCTTGTGTTACATACTATATTATATGGCTTTGCTTAAAAAGCAAACATTTGTTATAAAATAGTAGGATATTTACAAGTTAAACACAAGACTTTAAATGTTGTAGATTCAGAAATTGAAGAGGTTATTTGTAGAACTTTGGATTTGATTAAAAACAACATAAAATCTTTCTACAGGAGTTACAATTCGGTATATTGTGATTTATTTTGAAAAGGGTGAAAATCCACAGTAAAGGAATTTAAAAAGAAACTGGCCCTGTACATTTTTTCCCTTTCACCCAAACTTTGTGGTGAGAAATGAATTTTTCAATTTAATAATGTACTGCAAAGTGTACTTAACACTCTGTCTCTTGTCTTGACTAGTAACTCCTCATTAAACTACATTCATAACATGTCATTTAGAAACGAGCACAGTGGAAGAGGGAGATCAGGCCATTCCTGGGCAATGTAATATTAGTGGGGAATGATCTCATATCGTCTTCCGACCAAGTCCCTGAAGGAGGAAGAGCAGGCCTGAAGGATATGGCCGCTGCAGCTCTGAGTCTTCCTAGCTTCCTTCACCTTGGGGAGATGCTCAGGGCAGGCCGGCCGAAGTCAGTATCATACACCACAAGACTTAATGAAGGTTCTTCCTGGCGCTGACTCTCTATAGCCTTGATTTAGAATTTTCTTTCTTCCTTTTGTTATAATCTTTAATAAATAGTTGAAAGTAACCCTTTAAAGCATAGTTCCTAATCTGAGGCTTTTCCTGAGCCAGTTAGGGAATTTCTCATTGTTTTAGTCATAGTATAGTATTTAGCAGTCCATTTTTTCCCCCCACTTGTAGGAAAATCTTTGGTTCTACCTGTTGTTTGGATCCATTGGTCACCTGTTTCTTAATTATGACCCTTTCATTCGTTTTTCTACTAAGAGAAAAGTTGCACTTGAACTTGCACTTCGCATTTTCCGAGTAATAAAGGAAATTGAACTTTGGACCTCTAGTGAACAGACTGGGATTAGTTTCTATCAATAATAGAAGTTCTGGGGACCAGCAACTGGTGTAATGGCTATGTTGCTGGACTCCAATGTAGTCAACCGCCATTCGAGTCCCCGACCCAGTGGCTTAAACTCATGTCAGGCGCGTGTGCCTGTGTGTCCAAGATCCCAGAAGGAGAATGGAGGAGAAGGGATTGCAGAGTGGCCATTCCCCCTGCGGGGGTGAGTTCTCACTTTCTGTTGCTCTGTCTCTTTCTGTTTTTCTGGAGTACGCATGGGCCCTATAGCAAAAAACTCTCAAAAAAAAAAAAAAAAAAAAAAAAAAGAAAGAAAAGAAAGAAAGAAGTTCTGAATAATACTCTGCATCAATTATTTTTAATGAATACCAGTATGTTGGTGTCATTGAGATTAATACTCTCATTTCTAAGCAAATTATAATTTTAAAATTTTAATCTCTTTTGAGAAATAGTGTTTTAGTTTAATAACCTTGTGTTACATACTATATTATATGGCTTTGCTTAAAAAGCAAACATTTGTTATAAAATAGTAGGATATTTACAAGTTAAACACAAGACTTTAAATGTTGTAGATTCAGAAATTGAAGAGGTTATTTGTAGAACTTTGGATTTGATTAAAAACAACATAAAATCTTTCTACAGGAGTTACAATTCGGTATATTGTGATTTATTTTGAAAAGGGTGAAAATCCACAGTAAAGGAATTTAAAAAGAAACTGGCCCTGTACATTTTTTCCCTTTCACCCAAACTTTGTGGTGAGAAATGAATTTTTCAATTTAATAATGTACTGCAAAGTGTACTTAACACTCTGTCTCTTGTCTTGACTAGTAACTCCTCATTAAACTACATTCATAACATGTCATTTAGAAACGAGCACAGTGGAAGAGGGAGATCAGGCCATTCCTGGGCAATGTAATATTAGTGGGGAATGATCTCATATCGTCTTCCGACCAAGTCCCTGAAGGAGGAAGAGCAGGCCTGAAGGATATGGCCGCTGCAGCTCTGAGTCTTCCTAGCTTCCTTCACCTTGGGGAGATGCTCAGGGCAGGCCGGCCGAAGTCAGTATCATACACCACAAGACTTAATGAAGGTTCTTCCTGGCGCTGACTCTCTATAGCCTTGATTTAGAATTTTCTTTCTTCCTTTTGTTATAATCTTTAATAAATAGTTGAAAGTAACCCTTTAAAGCATAGTTCCTAATCTGAGGCTTTTCCTGAGCCAGTTAGGGAATTTCTCATTGTTTTAGTCATAGTATAGTATTTAGCAGTCCATTTTTTCCCCCCACTTGTAGGAAAATCTTTGGTTCTACCTGTTGTTTGGATCCATTGGTCACCTGTTTCTTAATTATGACCCTTTCATTCGTTTTTCTACTAAGAGAAAAGTTGCACTTGAACTTGCACTTCGCATTTTCCGAGTAATAAAGGAAATTGAACTTTGGACCTCTAGTGAACAGACTGGGATTAGTTTCTTTGATTTTGCTTCCAGTATAGTCTTAAATCATTTCTGTTCTGAATAATGACATGAGTAGTTAATTTTGTTTTGAAATTCTCCAACCTATGACTATGCAGAGTTTTATGGAAGA